TGCAACAGTTTAGGTGGAAATCTGTCTCCTAAATTATACTTTTTCTACTCATATAGTAACGGCAGATTAACCAAAACACGGTGAATTATTTTGTATCTTTGGGAGTATTTAATTTAGTTACAACTGGTTCACACAGCTACAATCTCTTCAAGTGCCAAACTGATTTGTCATCGTAGTGGATGGGAAGATAGTCTTTGACTTCTACCTATAGTGCAGCTTAAGAATACAACGAGTAAGCCTGTAAATGCTTTCGACGAGCTCCCTTCCAAGCCACCATATATATATATATATATATATATATATATATATGAGTAAATGCGAACGGACAGTCATTTGTGCAACCATGTTATCTAGTTCGTGTCGTTTCAATAACTATACGGGAGGATTGAGGGTTAACCTACAATTTATTAGCATATATAGATTGGTTTCCAGGTTTTTCATGTAACACTATCGTAAAGCCTATGCTTTGGCAAACAGCTTTTGGTCAAGGAAGTCAGAGCGTCTAAACCAATTTCTGATCTCAGCGGATAAATGCTAATTGCCTCACTGGGTGAAGCTTAATTGTTCGGCATTGCTGATGTGGAACGTCGTAGACGATGAGTAAAGCCTGACCGAAAGTCCGCTCAAAACTAAGTGAATTGCTAATGCTCAGCCCCTCCGATTCGTGGATGATGACCTTTTCGATGCACTTTGACAGCTGTCATCCATATACGTAAGTATGAAAGTGGTTGAGCACATACATACATACATACATACATACATACATACATACATACATACATACATACATACAACTGACATACATACATACATACATACATACATACATACATACATACATACATACATACATACATGCATTACATCACACTCCCTCTAAGTAAGTTCCCGTTTAACAAATAAACAGACTTATCCTCTATTAATGGTCATCACAGTGCACCGGCAAACAATAGGAGATGGCACAAAAATTGATTCTTATAGATAAGAAATACGTTTCGTTCGACAAATGACCTAAATTGATGGATTTGCATATTGCATGTGGTTCTTAGTATCCTGATTACTTAGAATAATTAGTAACAGCTTGACGCATAGGTATAATATGGAAAAACATTCATGTGAAGCAATCTGGACTGAGGTAGTTAACAAACTGTAGTTATCAGACAGGGTGAAAAAGCCATTCGTCTCGTTAAAACATTTGCGTGTAAAAATGCATCCATTACAATTCAAAAGGTCTCCACGTGTAACCTCTGAGATTGGAACCGAACTTGGTAGTGAGCAAAACTAATTTAGAAATCAAGCACGTAGAACAGAGGAATAAACATTTCCACGCATTAGTGGGATTAAAGTTGCGGTTACAAACAAAGTCATGTTTTCAAACCAAAAAAATCGGGAAATGATTGTTTTCCATGATGATTTCAGCAAAAAAGAGCACGGGAAAGAGAAGATTTGCGTCACATCGCGGTTCGTTTCGCGTCGCTCCACTGATGTCCCAAGATTCCATCACATCTGACATTCAATCCAATATGGTCGTGATAGCTGGTCTCGGACATCGAATCGCCTTTTTCGTTCCACCCACATCGGACAACACACCCTCGTTGTTTGCTTCCCCTCTGCCTTGGACGGTAAGTCTCCCTCGCTTTCCGTGTGTTTTATGGTCACTTACTGTTCTTTTCGTATATGTCATGAAAACGGAGTGATTCGATGATGATCATTTGAAATTGTTTTATTTCTGATGACTGGTTTCGAAAACGAGAATTTCGCAACATCAACGAGTAAAGCAATGAATCCAATTATTCCCAATTAATCACGTGCCCAAACTGTGGATATCTCGTCACGTGAATTCTTGTCCTTTTATAAATGATTAGGAGTTGGCAAAGAGACGTATTAAAATTGAGTTCACATCTGGAAGTCAAGTGCTTCTTCGATCTACACATTCGTTTTTAATGCAAAGCGAGCGTTATATTTGTTATTCAAAATATCGATATCACTAAAATATATGTGCTGGTTTCTACTATTTGGATTCAAATACAGAAGAGATCCAAGTTCATGATTCTTTTCAAAATTTCCATCACAGTTAATTACCAAGTGGATTCCGTACAGTTTGTTGTGACTAAATTATATCATTGATATTGGTGACTCCTTTATTTTGTTGCAAAAAGGTAACTGGAGCAGGATCCCATACCCATTGTTCGCATACCACTACAGGCTAAAACACGTAGCCGTGATAGATATTCTTGCGGCCTTGAATCCACGGTTTCAAACCTCTGAGTCGTTCTTTACTGACCCCCATCGATCTGTCTGCAGACTCGCTAGCTGGATTCACCTATGCAAATATTCCGTTATAATCCGGAATTTATTGTGTGAATAGATAATCCGACTGAGAAAAACAAATCTGTTTTCTTTCTCGCAGAAATGTCTCAATATTTTCATTTCACATGTATTAGATCGTCAAGGTATGCTCAGAATTACCTCATTCCTTATGGTATAAAATATTCATTGACGCTTATAGAAGAAAAAATGATCAACTGTTCTAACTCTTGTCCTACAAGTCTCATGGATAAGGACATCCTCAGTTTGATCGGTATTTTAGTACCAATGAAGAACAGACAGTATATCAAAGATTACTTATTCTTCATTTAAATATCTCAAAAAAACTATCTTCCTTCGGTTTATTGTTGTTGTTTTACTTGATTGTTCAGTAAACACATTTTTTGGACAACAAACGTGGATGGTAAATTTGTCACAGTGCAACGCGTGAATGACTCTCTCAGAACAGATAATAATGAGATTTTCGGCACACACACACAAACATATAGAAGTACAAACATAATTCAATTTTCTCGTTCCTCGTAATTTTAAATTGAATCAGTTTCATAATTCAGGATATATGTTCCACGGTAAGAATGCGAATTGTATGTGTACGAATTGAATAGAATTGTTGTCCAAAACGATACGTGTGTGACACTGAATCAGACGCAGATCAAATCATTCAACAAGATCATTCCGGTTCTCCGATGGTTTTTCGGACTATGGTCATGTGATCACCAAACCCGTCAGTCGTATTGCATTAAATGCTATTCAACTGTACTTGTAATGGCGTCTAGGTTATAAACAAATTAGATGTTTATTACATGTCGTAATTCGTGTAAAATGATTGCTGTTTGGATAGAAAGCTTCATTGTGCCAATGCGATTCTGGTTTTGTTGATGAGCCATTGTTAAATTTAACCGAATCATTCTCACTTCCATCGCCACTGAAGTAGAATCGTTGCTATCGCTGAGCTGAAAGCTTGATCCATTGATTGTATCTTACTAGTTTATAGATTGAAAACGAGATGTTCGTTTGGTGATGCACTGCTGGCAAAAAACATTTCAATGTGATGGTAGTGAGAGGATATGATTCAGGTGACCGCTAATAGTGGCAAAATAAATGTCTCCAGATTCGAACCTTAACGCTAGTGCCGCACTCTAGTGGTAACTAGTCAATAAGCACAAGGTTACACCTTTTCCACTGACAACTCTCGTAAATAAAACTAGGGATTTCCACTATCTTTCCAATGAACCGTATGTCTCTGTGATTACGTAACTTGTTTCCAACTCAGGTTTCTTCTTCCTCATCAGTGATTATATAGCTTTCTCCCCGTACCTTTTCTTTTGTTTCCTTTCATGATGAATAGTTGGCAACAAGTTATTAAGTGTTAGATATTATAACTACTCACTCCCTGTTATCAAATAAACAAGGTTATGAGACCGGTGGAGACATGGATTATAGTGTATAGTCTATTTCTTCATATACAGAGGGTTAATGAAGCTTAAAGTAAAAAGCTAGAAAACATTGTAAAATCAGTTGAGCTTCAGCTACAGTGAAATCCCATCGACCCAACCGAGGTTCACTAACCAAAGACCACAAGACTGTGATACCGGCACCAAACTTTTAAATATGATTTATACTTTTGGTTGTACAGGCAAAATGAAAAAAACAGTTTAGTCAACTAGCCCGTGGTCAAGTGGATAGTGCACTTGAATTCTACCTGTGAGATCCAGTGTTCAATCCTAGGTTGCGTCGATGCATTCGCACTGTTGATGAGGTCGTGTTAAAGCATTGTGATCTATTTTCGGTTAGACAGAAGCGGCACATTAACGGACAGTAGTGAAACTTAAACAGATAGCCTTAGGATCAAAATGATCATTCAAACCAGTAGATCATAATGGTCTCCTCTTTTACTCCTTGGATTATCGATTTACTTTCGCTATCTTTTGTTTTTGACACCTGACTTGTCTGCATGTCCCTTCATTTTTGTCAATCGGAAATTTCATTCTGCCTTTAGAAAGAAGTTGAAAAGAAAGGTAGTACCTTAGGATGGAAACCGGCTAAATTCCGACTGGAAGATTGGACCGAACCGGAGGATGTTCAGATGGCCCTGAGCCAACGTCGAACCCAGCCTATGGGTACCGCTTACCAACCGAAAGGAGACTATCCTCCACCAGATCCGGTTACTGGGGCACCACGTAATCCGGTCGGTCGTACAGGGGTACCCGGTCGAGGACATTTGCCGTACTGGGGTGCAAATCCCTCGATGATCCTGGTTGCTACCCGGACCGAAAATAAGGGCAAAACCGGACGACCACAAATTCTTTTTGCTATGTTTAATCATCGAATCGGTGGCCAGTTGCCCTGGGTGAGCAAAACATCAGTTGGCTTGAAATGTTTTACTATTTTTATTGAATCTTTAACTGTAATGCTTGATACTGATATGATTTAATAGTCTTCAAAGTGTGTAGAAGTACTTCCGAATAGTGGTCACCTCAATCGATTGAAAATCGGCAGGTGCAAGTGGTCTCTTTTAATCAGTACATCAGCCTCTTAGAGTTGGTAAACCTTGGCTATTCTTGATACCGATAAAAACACATCCCTAACATACTAAATGGCATCACGTTTCTTTATATGTAATCCACATCTTGCTCGGTTCTGAAATAATGGATAGTGAACTCTATTAGGAAAGAATAAATTACTGCCAAAAGTTTGTTTTGAGTTTTATTTTACCTGTGACATATATTCATAATTTCACAGGAACAAATCTGAAGGCTTTAACAGTGTATTTTGTCGCTTTAAACGTGTTTTGCGGATTTCCAAAGCATTCCTTCCCTCCCGTGGCAGTGGAAAATTCCACGCTCTAACCGCATATGGTCTATCTCAAAGATGTTCACCCCATGAAGACGGAAGCTCTGTATTGACCGAACACGTTTACCATGAGTTATCTAGTTTTATTACAGATTCCTTCGCGGTTAATTACAATAGTATGAACACTAGCAGCAATTAACGACCACTCGGTTGAAACTGGCACTGACAGCAAAAAAACTCTTATCCAAGTATCGCAACATTTCTGTATATTCCGATCAAACCACCGGTTTCATCCGTGCACCATTCCTTCGGACAACCTGATCAATGGATGACGCTCTTGAAAATGAATAGGTTAAGTGTTTTCTTAGAAAGATCACCAAACTTACGTTTTTTCAAGTACAAATGTGTCTGTTGAACCACGTGAGGTGGGAAAAACTGGTAGGCATATAATATGGGCTGGTATCCTGCTCAAATCAAAGAGTTGTTTGTTTAGTAATGTATCAATTTGAGGAGTTAGATGAGCTTAACAAGACCATGCGAACGGTTTGGTTTAATTTTGAAATTGAAAAACATCATTGTACAGTAAAGCTGCATTCGGATGGAATCTTCTGTACCTCCTCAGATGCATACTAAAGATTATTTAGAGTTATAATGAGAATAAACCTATGGTTACCGACCAAAATTTTTGCAGTCCATCTTCCTACCAAAGCAAAGTCAAAGAGATAAACAGTTCTTTCTGTTTAAGCTTCCATTATTATCTTGCTGTCGCTTTGGAAAATTGCAGTAAACGTAAAATTAGTGGCATAAATAATCACAGTGAACGCATTTTTTTGGTCTAAATGAAGCTTTGTCTTAAGCAAGTGTGGTGCAACAGAAAAGACCGGTGGTTGTTCAAACAGTAACCACTGACAAGTTGATTCTGATTGGTGGACGTGTGTGTCCACTCATCGCGTGAGATGTCCAATCACTCTAAGTGGCCGTTCCGTTCGCCGAGGTAGGTGACCGAGTACCCACGCTTGAGAAGGTAGAAAAGGTGTGATTTGGAATGAACAGGTATGGGCTGTTTGACCCAGGGAACTCATATCTGTCGACACGTAGTTCTGGTTAACATTAAATTGGAGGCGGTTTGCGAAGACACCATTGACATTATCGCCTTTGGATGACAACTACCGGACTTCTCATCAAGCGACTCCGATCCAGGATCCTTAACATCTGTAGTGCAAACCTTCTCAATCCCTTTCTGAAATTCAAAGGTAGAAAAAGTCGTGAAGTGTAAGTATTGACCAGATCAATTGTTTTCAATACACGGAACTTTCATTTTATCTGTGTTTTCAAATCTTTTGTCTAGTGCTTAATTCGACATTCGAATACTTGTCCCGGGATAGAGTGTACCAAGAATCTGGTGGATATGCTGGTCAATGCCAGGGTAACCGAGTGCATTCGTGCAAATCCGGAAAAACGTGCTTTATTCGAACAAGCCAGATCACACTATCAACAATGCAAATTCCGTAAGGTGAGTTTTTTATCCTGCCCCCCCCCCTTCTCAGTCCCGGACCGAGGAACTGGTTGGAGAGGCTTCAGCAACAGTTTATCCGTCCTTATTCGTATACATGGATAAGATTTTTTCTATCCAGCACTATTCGATTAATTATCTAGTTCGCAAACAAAAGAACTACTATAGGTAAAGTATGCTTGGAAAACACCAATTCAGCATGTATGGGAGTAAATTATCGGATGTCTAAGAATCCGTATTTTATCCAAACCAGGCAGCTGGAAGTGAATCGATAGTAACTGATATCGGACTTTTACCAAACGAGGTCAAAGGCATTAGCGAAATTAGTCCAACATCAATTTTGTTTGCACATATCCACGTGATTCGACTAAAGTGAAATTCTCTGATCGGTTCCTATTGCCTAATTAGTTATCTGAGTTTTAAATGTTGTGCATAATCAGCTGTTTAGCTTTCGGAAAGTAAAGCAAACTGTCAAGGTCATCAGGACTAATTGAGGTTTATTCCTCTGTAAGACAAAACTTGATTCTCTTTTCGTCTAGAGGAAGTGAGCTGGGTATTTAAGAGGGTAGTTATGGTAGAAGAATGGAAAATGCGTATTGCACCAGTTTCAACAGACCCTGTATTAAAATACAAGTTACAGTAACCTCTACAATGGTTTATTAGATAGTTGTTTTAGCTCCACTCCATAGGTTTACACCAGACAGGATGATACTTGACTAAACCTTTTCCCATCAAAAAACCCGCAATCCTTTAGCCAAAACCCGTAGTCCTTTAGCCTCAACGCACAAAATTTAGCCAGGCCGCAGTAGGCGAGTCAGATCAAAAAGTATCGGAATATTCTGAAGTCAACGAGTGTTGAAAAAATTATTTTCTATAAATTTTGTGCGTTGAGGCTGAAGGACTACGGGTTTTGGCTAACGCAACGCGGGTTTTGGTTAAAGGAATGTAGCTCAAGGCTAAAGGATTGTGGGTTTTCGCTAAATCTTGATGGGAAAAGGTGTGGAATAAAGTAGGGAAATGATTTCAATCCAAACTAAGATGGTTGGATTCACCGATTCTATTTGTCGCAGGCCCCAGGCTTTGTTGGTTGTCTTGAGTCCGGGTCCGGCTCTTTGGGGGATTGTTAATTCCCCACTAGTTGAATGTATTTTTAAGCGATGGGAATGCTTATGAACAACAAAAAACACCGGAAACCTGTTTCTTCCTGTTTGGGGCTCGTCAGTAGTGCATGCGAATTCAAAACGAAGCTGTCCAGTGCGCTTTGATTATATCATAGATATTTCCATCACGTAAAGATATCCCCAATCCTTTCATCACAAGTTCAAATTGTTTTGTACAACACGAATATTTTCATTCTATATGGAGACTATGAATGTGAATTGGTTAAACTGATCAAACTGATTTGGGGTTAATGGAAC